CTTCAAGTACGTCTTTGTTCCACAACAGCTGATAGTTAGTGATCTTAACATATTGATTTTGAAGAATGACACTGGCCGCAATCAATTGTGTTTCAGGTGGCAAGGATGATAGTATGGGGTGGGAGATGAGAGGCGTGGCTGGTCCAAATCCAGAGTCCGTCGGGCAAAGTAGAAATTGAAGACATGTCCAGATGCGATCATGAGAACTTGTTGCCCAACGCATCAACCGGCGAACCTCCCAACCTAAGCGCCTAAGCTCCTCTTGTGCTCGGTCGATATAGGCAAGCTGACGCATCCCATCCCTTGTCTTTGGATCAGTTGCCCATGGATCTTGAAGTTTCGTGAATATTGAGTCGTTCCAGAACGGGTGATCTGCTTTGATTTCATTCAAAGCATTATAGTCGATGTCCTCAGGAAGCTGTTGGGCAGGATACTTGGCCTGATATTCTGCCCGGCGAGTGCGGTATGTATCGACTTTTTTCCTCAGCTGTGCCGCACGCTTTCGAAGAGCAAGAAGAACAGAGGTCTTTCCACGCTGACCTGTAATAACCAGCATTAGTGTTGTCATTCATCTTGTGTTTCAAATGATCAAATACCTACCTATATTTGAATGATGCCCATCTGCACGACTCTGTTGCAGCGGTCGCTTTTCCTCATTAAGTGCAATGTAATACAATGCAACCTCGTGCTTGCTGTACCAAAGCTTCAGAAAATCCTCTTGCTCGGTTGCTGATGATGAATAGAGACTTACAGATTATATCAACCCAGTTGACCAGACATATAACAATGAATAATGAAAACTGACAAGTATGGAAAACTTCCGCAGTGCCTACTTTTTCAGCCTGTTTGACAATCTCCTCCCTAAGGCGCTCGCTTTCCAGAACTCGGGCAATGGACTGTTCAGGTGTTTGAGCCACTCTCAACCTGTTGAAGTATATGAATTGTAATGATGTCTATTAATAATCAGTCATTGGGGTATGCAGAAGTTTTGACTTACAATAAAGCTTTTTGTTCGTCTTGTAGAGATAGTAGTCTCCCGAGTTCTAGTTCTTGTTTTTGCATAGCCACCTTCTTGCTTGCATATGCCTCGCGCTCAGAATCCCACTGTTCGCGTAAAAAGGCGTCCGAATACATATGACCGGGTTGGGCTGGGTTAGGTGTGGCAAATAGTGAGGTCAAGAACGTCTGAGCTTCTTGACCTACCTTCATCGCATTTTGTATACGTTTGCGAAGCCACTGGGCTATTTAATTCAGATGGATAATTCTGTTAGCAAATCTCGCACATGTATAAGAGCAAAATTATACATACCGCTTCCCTGGTTGAGCTTTGTCTTATAGAAGCGATTGCGCCAATATATAGCTTGTAGTCGATGGAGTCGGGTTGATATGCGAAGAACAGACACAAGGGCTGATAAAAAAGACCAGAGCCGCTCAAGGCCCTCGCCGTCTGACAAGCCCCAATACTTATTGAAGCGAGGGTTGAATTTTATCTGACAGGCCCACTCGTGCACATATGCATGGAAGACCGATGTACCAAACATCATCTTGTTATCGGGTGGGAAGAGCTGGCGCTATGATTGAACAATTGGACACAATTTAATCAGCTAATGGGGCAATTGAAATCGAGTAACACGACATGGACTTACCTTTGCGATATGGGCACCTAAGTGACATCCAATGTCATAAAGTACAGCTATGTGCTTATCAGGATAGATTGATCGAAGTTTTTTTAGAATCGCCACAGGATAATATAGCCTATAATCCAAAAAAGTCAGTTTTTGATATTAATGTTGTGTAATGCTGTGGGCCCTTACTTTTCACCACTTTTGTAGATATTCACAAAGTAAAGTGCGACATCGTGACGGCAAGCACATGCAAATAAACCCGTGTCGTCACATCCATCCCAAGACTGGCTATTGCGAACGTCGTTGGCAGCTGTATGGGAATCAGAACATGCGGTCTGCAATTGGAGGGTTGATCCACAAACCTGTTTAGTGACATTCAGTAATAGATGTGAAAAATGATAAGCATGAAATACATACCTTGATGCCAACCGCTACAGCATCGGTTGCTTTACAGGCAGTGACCTGAGTCTCAAGCTGGCTAGGGCAAATGAAAAAAGGCGGATATTGTTCTTCTTCTGGCGAGTCCTTGCTAGCATGCGATTGATGACGCTGTTGGAAATTGCCATCCATGGCAATTATAAAATCGGGTTCGTCAGGGGAAGCCTTCTCTTCACCTTTTGCAGGACCAAAGCATAGGGAACATTGCTCGGCAGAAATATCGTGAGATGTATATTCAAGACCTTCTTCGAATAAAGTTTGTTGACCGAGTAGGACTCGACGATAAATGTCGATGGCTTGAGTGAAAGGATGTCGCAGACTCCTGTTGATATTCTTTTGGCGATTTCTCTTGAGCTGTCGAGGTTTCATTCTTGAAGTACATCGTTCATCCAGAAATGACATCAGGGCGTCAAGGAATCCCGTGGTTGAGATTGTGGTATTATTCCACAGGTGATGGTGAAATTGGATGAGTCGGATAGAAAATCCAGTGCGTGGATATTGAGGCGAGCCAGCGATGTATCCAAGTTGAAGAAGTCGGATTACATCGGGTACACAGTCACAGAATGTGATTAGCTGACGTCTACTTCGGCCTAAAGAAAGAAGTGAAGGTATAGTTAATAAATTGAAAAAATATATAAGAATCCAGAAGACTTACTGAGAAGATCAATCAAGTCAACAGACCTCTGTCGGCAATTCTCGGGTAAACAAGCACATTTGATTTCGTCGTTTACATAAGAGTGCTCTGTTGTCCAATTGAGTGTACGGTTTTGTAAGTTCAGGTACATGGCGATGATCTTATTCTCATGGGCTAGCCATTTCTTTGCTCTTTTTGCTCGGGCTTCTGCACGTCTAAGTTCTTTCTGATACTGAGCATACTGATTCCCTGAAGAGTCGATCACTGAGGATTCACCATTGTTGATGCCTTGGAAATCATTCATTTCTTCTGGAATGTCTTCCCACTTGTCATCGCCCGGTTCTAGAGAAGACTGTTGAGGAGGAGGTGAGGGTTGAACAAAACCAAGGCTCTGGCTGATCTTTTTAGCAACTCCGGGGGTCACACCAGGTGGCGAGACATCACCTCTTTGACGTTTACGTGATCTTTTGGGTTTTTCATGGCCAAAAATATCCGGATTACTCCCTGTTGCTTTGAGTTCACGGCGCCCCATTGTCGAGTCGTGATTTAGGATGACTGAAGTATTATCCTCAAGTCTCGAATTTGGGATGACTGAAGTATGTGGTGGTTAGTATTTTGGATTACGTTGTGGGATGCTGAAGTCAAAGATGATTATGTGGTGTGACTTGCCTATAGTAGGAACTTTGAGTGTTTGAGTGTCCGATTGCTCAAGTGTGTCCGGGTGGTCTCATGCTCGAGTGGTCGGGTACAGGACATTTGATGTTTTGGATTACATAGATGATGTCGTATGTATTAAAAAATAAAAAAATAAAAAACGTTGGCGCGTTTGAGGTCACCGAGATGGGGAGGAGAACGAGATGGATACGAGATAGGGGGAAAGCCGCTCGAAACGGCTGTATTGTTCATTCTTAGGCCCGCTTCGAGTGGTAGAAAAGGACACCCCGAGGTGCCAGATCCCTTACCACGTTCAAAACATTCATACACACCTACAGATCTATAATTATCCTTCATCATCGAATGCAGGGAGCGGAGAAATTCGGAAACCATCATAGAGGTCCTATCCAACCTAGCCTCGAATAAACCAGAATCAAACAACACGCTACTCAAGAGCGTACTGATAATGATGATGATGTCTATGCAAACCATCAAGGAGCTCCGATAAGAAATTTGTAGCCTCAAAGCCAATCGCTCCAAAGAAGCCACATACATGCCACCAACAATCAAACATCTCTTACCGGCTAAACCTCAGGCTTGGAACACACCACACCCCAGGATACACCAATGACCGGACCCTCAATCTGCACCAAACCCACCACCAAAGAATGCTGACCTTAACAAATTCAAAGTAGCAACTCTAATCATCCACAGAGCCCCTGACAAAGCACCTTTCAAAGGGATGTCAAATTTGGAAATCATACAACACCTTGATGCACCTCTCCTCTTGATAAACACAAAAATTGCTGCCCAAGCCAATAAAATTTGTGGAGCTGTCATTCTCAAAGTGACATCTCCCTGAAGAACAGACAAATTAAAAGTTGGTTACTCAAAAACAAATATCAATAGACCAAACTTGCCCACAAAGATTTCAAATCATATCAAACTAGATACCCTGTCCTTTTCAATCTCAGACCAGCCAAAATCGTTGTATAGTGCATGAAGGCAAATCTTTGTCAATTTCAAAGCAAGGCCCAAAATGATTGCTAGACCACAAAACTTTTTGTGGTCACCTGCCAATCAAAGTTCTGGAATGCTCTCGCCAAAAGGATTCCATGCATCTTTTTTTTCAAAACAGTAAATTCATACCAAGCTGTCAACTTTTTCAACTTTTTTCTTCAAGTTTTGGAAGGCTCTCATTGAAATAAATCCCTGCATATAGTTTTGGAGAAAAATCATGATTTCTTGTTCTTTTCTAAAGAATTGATCTTCTTTTGTCAGCTCTGAGCCCTGTGTACAGGACCACGGACTAACAAACACACATGTAAATACATGTAATACATAGGTAAATAATATGTAAATATATGAAACTTGTTTAAAACCATAAGCATTACAACTCATGGCTCAGTTTCAAGAGTCAGTTAAGTAACAAGACTTACTATGACTTAACCTCATAGTAAACCTAACCCAGACCTAGCTCAAAAGAAAAGCAAACCTAAGCGCCAACCACAAGTTGACGCCTAGGTCTGGAATATATAAACTCCTTATCTTCCCACTCTGGAAGAAGAACAACTTATTATCATACCACAACTCCTCATCACATCTTACTTGATTCTTTACCAAGAATATTGAGTATAGTGATTTAGTTGTATCTTGATTATCATAGTTCAACTTCTTATTCAGGTTATTGTAAAACCTCAAGTGGTGTTCTGAGCTGGTGGGATCAATAGCTAACAGAACAAGCTTGGAATTTACAAAGGGTTCCTCTTTAAAAGAGTCTAAAGTACCCCGCGGCACCTCTGAATCCTCAGAATCTAAAGTACTGCAGGCTCCAGAGTTGTAAGATCCTTAGAGGGATTACTCAGCCACCCCACTGGCATCAAATCCTCTCCTTGGAGGTCAACCAACTGCAGTCTTCACTTGGGTGTACCAGTGAAGACTTCTTCCTAGTCCTTTACACACTTCTTTTTAGTGAAGAGTCAGCCAGAAAGTAGCTGACC